AAGGAGTGACCATCACTCGAAAAATTATTATTATTAATAATAATATAAATAATAATAATGTGTTTATGGTCTATGAAGAGTATTATTATTTTGTTTTATTATTATTATAAAACAATGTAATAATACTCTTCATAGACCATAAACACATTATTATTATTTATATTATTATTATTATTATTATTATTATTATTAATAGTAATATAAATAATAATATTGTGTTTATGGTATATGAAGAGTCCCAGATCCCTTCACTGAAAGGAATTAATTGAGACTATGCAATATAATGGCTTCCTTAGACACTCTATTCCAATGGAGGCAGCCTAGAGTGGCATTGGCCTCTTTCGCTGCAGCATCACACTGTCGCCATGTTCAGCTTGGGATCGATCACAACTCCCAATAATGTGCCTCGCTTCCAGTGTTTGCATTACGGCATTTACGGGGCAAGGATTGCAATATTTTTCTTGACGGCCTACCTTGTGATGATGCTTCAGGGTCCGGTTCAGCCGACGCTCTTGGATCAGCTGCAGCCTCGTCCGCTCTAGGGCTTCTTTCAGCAGGGCCTTCTCCTCCTTCTCCTGATAGATCCGGTCCCCCAATTTGGCAATTTCGGACTGGCAGGCTCTCAGCGTCTGATGATTGGCCCTGCGGGATTGGGAAAGGAAGAGAGCAGAAGTGGGCGATATCTATATATATAAAAATGTTCTGGGCGTCGTGAGTGCCTTAAAAACAAAAGAACCAATGAACGAAATCACATCAAATTTGGCAACAGAATGTCTCACAACGCAAGGAGTGACCAGCACTCAAAAAATTAGGATTTTGTCATTTGGGAGTTGTAGTTGCTGAGATTTATATCTATATAATATTAATAATAATATTACTGGGTTCAATCATCACAACAAGCGGGACTTCCTGCAGCACATCTTTAATAATAATAATAATCATCATCATAATAATTATAATAATGCAATGTCGTTTCCTAATGGTTTCTCTATCATCACAACATGCGGGACATCCTGCAGCACATTTTTAATAATAATAGTAATAATAATAATCTATATATATATAAATGTTCTGTGCGTCATGAGTACCTTAAAAACAAAAGAACCAATGAACAAAATCACACCAAATTTGGCAACAAAATGTTTCACAACACAAGGAGTGACCATCACTCAAAAATTATGATTTTGTCATTTGGGAGTTGTAGTTGCTGGGATTTATAGTTCACCTACAATCAAAGAGCATTCTTTCTTCTATATCTATAAAAAATGCTCTGTGCATAATGCGTACCTTAAAAACAAAAGAACTAATGAATGAAATCACACCAAATTTGGCAATAAAACGTCTCACAACACAAGGAGTGACCATCACTCAAAACATTATGATTTTGTCATTTGGGAGTTGTAGTTGCTGGGATTTATAGTTCACCTACAATCAAAGAGCATTCTGAACTCCACCAACGATGGAATTGAACCAAACTTGGCACACAGTTCTCCCATGACCAACAGAAAATACTGGAAGGGTTTGCTGGGCAGTGTCCTTTGGTTTTGGAGTTGTAGTTCACCTACATCCAGAAATCACTGTGGACTCAAACAATGATGGATCTAGACCAAACTTGGCACAAATACCCCGTATGCTCAAATATGTACACAGATGGAGTTTAGGGGAAATAGGCGATTTCTGTCTTTTATGATCGGGCATCAAGCATTCTGCTTTAGCGTTTTGCCTTTTGAATTGACTACTGCCCCGCGTGTTTTTACTAAATTGCCCAAATGTGGAGTTTGGGGAAAATAGACTCTTGACATTTGGGAGTTGTAGTTGCTGGGATTTATATATATATAAATGCTCCGGGCATCGTGAGTGCCTTAAAAACAAAAGAACCAATGAACCAAATCATACCAAATTTGGCAACAAAACGTCTCACAACACAAGGAGTGACCATCACTCAAAAAAAATTACGATTTTGTCATTTGGGAGTTGTAGTTGCTGGGATTTATAGTTCACCTATATCTAAATGCTCTGTGCGTCATGAGTACCTTAAAAACAAAAGAACCAATGAACGAAATCACACCAAATTTGGCAACAAAATGTCTCACAACACAAGGAGTGACCATCACTCAAAAAATTATGATTTTGTCATTTGGGAGTTGTAGTTGCTGGGATTTATAGTTCACCAACAATCAAAGAAGCATTCTGAACTCCACCAATGATGGAATTGATCCAAACTTGGCACACAGAACTCCCATGACCAACAGAAAATACTGGAAGGGTTTGGTGGGCATTGACCTTGAGTTTTGGAATTCTAGTTCACCTACATCCAGAGAGCACTGTGGACTCAAACGATGATGGATCTGGACCAAACGTGGCACAAATACTCAATATACCCAAATATGAACACAGACGGAGTTTGGGGAAAATGGACCTTGACATTTGGGAGTTGTAGTCACTGGGATTTATAGTTCACCTACAATCAAAGAGCATTCTGAACCCCACCAATGACAGAATTGGGGCAGACTTCTCACACAGAACCCCCATGACCAACAGAAAATACTCAAGGTCATTGAGTCCAACTCCCTTCACCAGAGCAAGAAAAAGTAAGAGAAGAAAAAGGAAGGAAGGAAGGAGTGATGGAGGGAAGGAAGGAGCAAGGGAGGGAGGGAAGGAAGGAAGGAAGGAAAGAAAGAAAGAAGGAAAGGAAGGAAGGAGGGAAGGAAGGAAGGAGTGAGGGAGGGAAGGAAGGAGTGAGGGACGGAAAGAAGGAAGGAAGGAGGGAGGGAAGGAAGGAAGAAAGGAGTGAGGGAGGGAAGGAAGGAAGGAGGAGGAGGAAGGAAGGAAGGAGAGGAAGGGAAGGAAGAAGGAGGAAGAAGGAAGGAGGGAGGGGGGAAGGAGGAAGGAAAAGGAAGGAAGGAAGGAAGGAAGGAAGGAGTGAGTGAGGGAAGGAAGGAAGGAAGGACGGAAGGGGGAAAGGTGTTGCCATTGATACATTGTGAAGAAGGCTTCCCTCAGAGCTGGAGAAGGAAGGAAGGAAGGAAGGAAGGAAGGAAGGAAGGAAGGAAGGAAGGAAGGAAAGAAGGAAAGAAAGAAAGAAAGAAAAAGGAGGAAGAAGGAATGAAAGGATGGGAAGGGGAGGGAGGGAGGAAGGAAGGAAAGGAGGAAGGAAGGAAGGAGTAAGGAGGGAAGGAAGGAAGAAGGAAGGAGAGAGAGAGAAGGACGGGATATAATGGGAAGGAAGGAATGAGGGAAGAGGGAGCGAGGGAAAGAAGGAAGGAAGGAATGAGGGAAGGAAGGAAGGAAGGAAGGAAGGGGAAAGAAAGGGGGAAATAGAGGAAGGAAAGGGAGAAAGGAAGGAAGGAAGAGAAGGAAGAAGAAAAGAAGGAAGAAAGGAAGAAAGAAAGAAAAAAGAAAGAAAAAGGAAGAAGAAGGAAGAAAGAAGGATGGGAAGGAAGGAGGAGGGAGGGAAAGAAGGAAAGAAGGAAGGAAGGAGGGAAGGAGAAGGAGGGAAGGAAGGAAGGAGGAAGAAGGAAGGGAGGAAGGAAGGAAGAGGAGGAAGAAAAGAAGGAAAGAGTGAGGGAGGGAGGGAAGGAAGGAGGAGGGAGGGAAGGAAGGAAGGAATGAGGAAGAGGGAAGGAATGGAGGAGGGAGGGAAGGAAGGAAGGAGGAAGGAAGGAAGGAGGGCGGGAGGGGGAAGGAAGGAAGGAAGGGGGAAGAGGGAGGGAGGGAGGAAGGAAGGAGGAGGAAGGAAGGAGGGAGGGAAGGAAGGAAGGAGAGGAGGAAGGAAGGAAGGAAAGAGTGAGGGAGGGAGGGAAGGAAGGAAGGAGTGAGGGAAAGAAGGAAGGATTGGTGAAGGAAGGAATGAGGGAGGGAGGGAAGGAAGGAAAGGAGGAGGAAGGAAGGATGGAAGAGGAAAAAGATGTGAGGGGAGGGATGGAAAGAAAAAGAAGGGCTGAAAAAAGAGTTTCCTAGCAACCCTTTTCCTGCCACCTCCCTCCGGCCTGTCTACCTGAATTTCCCGACGTCCTTCTCGTACTCTTTCAGCAGCGACTCCTTCCTCTCCAGGCGGGTCTTCATCTGGCCGATCTTCCTGCAGAGGAGCTGGAGGTCCTTCTGCCGCAGAAGCTTAAGCTTCTCCCTTTCATCGTGCGGGAGGTGCATGACCGTCCTCGCCCCCGCCAGCTCCTTCACGTCCGCCAGATTGGCCAGATCCCGCATCACGTTGAGATACTGGAGGAGAAAGATTGGTTTGTCTCAGCCCCAAAGTTCTTGAACTGCCTTGCTTTTGGAGGAAGAAGAAAGGAGAGAAGAGTGGAGCTGCATAGACCTCCATATCGTAGTTCTTAAACAGCTTTGCCTTCGGAGGAAGGTGGAAGGAGAGAAGAGTGGAACATAGACCTCCATATCGTAGTTCTTAAACAGCTTTGCCTTTAGAGGAAGGTGGAAGGAGAGAAGAGTGGAGCTTCATAGACCTCCGTTTTATGGTTCTTAAATTGCCTTGCCTTCAGAGGAAGGAGGAAGGAGAGAAGAGTGGAGCTTCATAGACCTCAATTTTATGGTTCTTAAACTGCTTTGCCTTCAGAGGAAGGAGGAAGGAGGAAAGAGAGAAGAGTGGAGCTTCATAGACCTCCATTTTATGGTTCTTAAACTGCTTTGCCTTCAGAGGAAGGAGGAAGGAGGAAAAAGAGAAGAGTGGAGCTTCATAGACCTCAATTTTATGGTTCTTAAACTGCTTTGCCTTCAGAGGAAGAAGGAAGGAGGAAAGAGAGAAGAGTGGAGCTTCATAGACCTCCATTTTATGGTTCTTAAACTGCTTTGCCTTCAGAGGAAGGAGGAAGGAGGAAAAAGAGAAGAGTGGAGCTTCATAGACCTCAATTTTATGGTTCTTAAACTGCTTTGCCTTCAGAGGAAGAAGGAAGGAGGAAAGAGAGAAGAGTGGAGCTTCATAGACCTCCATTTTATGGTTCTTAAACTGCTTTGCCTTCAGAGGAAGGAGGAAGGAGGAAAGAGAGAAGAGTGGAGCTTCATAGACCTCCATTTTATGGTTCTTAAACTGCTTTGCCTTCAGAGGAAGGAGGAAGGAGGAAAGAGAGAAGAGTGGAGCTTCATAGACCTCCATTTTATGGTTCTTAAACTACCTTGCCTTCAGAGGAAGGAGGAAGGAGGAAAGAGAGAAGAGTGGAGCTTCATAGACCTCCATTTTATGGTTCTTAAACTGCCTTGCTTTCAGAGGAAGGAGAGAAGAGTGGAGCTTCAGAGACCTCCATTTCATAGTTCTTAAACTGCCTTGCTTTTGGAGAAAGAAGGAAGAAGAGAAGACTGGAGCTTCATTGACCTCCATTTTATGGTTTTTAAACTGCTTTGCCTTCAGAGGAAGGTGGAAGGAGAGAAGAGTGGAGCTTCAGAGACCTCCATTTAATAGTTCTTAAACTGCATTGTTTTGGGGGAAGGTGGAAGGAGAGAAGAGTGGACTTCAGAGACCTCCATCTTATGGTTCTTAAATTGCCTTGCCTTCAGAGGAAGGAGAGAAGAGTGGAGCTTCATAGACCTCCATTTTATAGCTCTTAAACTCCCTTGCATTTGGAAAAAGAAAGAAGGAGAGAAGAGTGGAGCTTCAGAAGCCTCCATTTAATAGTTCTTAAACTGCCTTGCTTTCAGAGGAAGGAGAGAAGAGTGGAGCTTCATAGACCTCCATTTTATGGTTCTTAAACTGCCTTGCCTTCAAAGGAAGGAGAGAAGAGTGGAGCTTCATAGACCTCTATTTCATAGTTCTTAAACTGTCTTGCTTTTGGAAGAAGAAGGAAGGAGAGAAGAGTGGAGCTTCAGAGCCTTCCATTTTATGGTTCTTAAACTGTCTGCCTTTTGGAGGAAGGAGAGAACAGTAGAGCTTCAGAGATCTACATTTCACAGTTCTTAAACTGCCTTGCTTTTGGAGAAAGAAGGAAGGAGAGAAGAGTGGAGTTTCAGAAACTTCCATTTAATAGCTCTTAAACTGCCTTGCCTTCAGAAGAAGGAGAGAAGAGTGGAGCTTCATAGACCTGTATGTCATAGTTCTTAAACTGCCTTGTTGTAGGAGAAAGAAGGAAGGAGAGAAGAGTGGAGCATCAAAGGCCTCCATTTTATAATTCTTAAATTCCCTTGCATTCTGAGAAAGAGGGAAGGAGAGAAGAGTGGAGCTTCAGAGACATCTGTTTCATAGTTCTTCAACTGTCTGGCTTTTGGAAGAATAAGAGAAAAATAGAGCTTCAGAGATCTACATTTAATAGTTCTTAAACTCCCTTGCATTTGGAGAAAGAAGGAAGGAGAGAAGAGTGGAGCTTCAGAAGCCTTCATTTTATAGTTCCTAAACTCCCTTGCAATTGGAGAAAGAAGGAAGGAGAGAAGAGTGGAGTTTCAGAAGCCTCAATTCTATGGCTCTTAAATTGCCTTGCCTTCAGAGGAAGGAGAGAAGAGTGGAGCTTCAGAAATCTCCATTTTATTATTCTGAAAACTACTTTGCCTTTGGAAGAAGAAGAGAAGAGTGGAGTTTCAAAGACCTCTATGTCATAGTTCTTAAACTGCCTTGCTGTAGGAGGAAGGAGAGAAGAGTGGAGTTTCAGAAGCCTCCATTATATAGTTCTTAAAATCCCTTGCATTCAGAGAAAGAAGGAAGGAGATAAGAGTGGAGCTTCAGAAACCTCCATGTTATAGTTCTTAAGCCCTCTTGCATTCGGAGAAAGAAGGGAGGAGAGAAGAGTAGAGTTTCAGAAACCTCTGTTTCATAGTTCTTAAACTTTCTGGCTTTTGGAGGAAGGAGAGAAGAGTGGAGTTTCAGAAGCCTCCATTATATAGTTCTTAAAATCTCTTGCATTCGGAGAAAGAAGGAAGGAGAGAAGAGTGGAGCTTCAGAAACCTCCATGTTATAGTTCTTAAGCCCCCTTGCATTCGGAGAAAGAAGGGAGGAGAGAAGAGTAGAGTTTCAGAAACCTCTGTTTCATAGTTCTTAAACTTTCTGGCTTTTGGAGGAAGGAGAGAAGAGTGGAGTTTCAGATATCTACGTTTTATACTTCTTAAACTCCCTTGCCTTTGGAGAAAGAAGGAAGGAGAGAAGAGTGGAGCTTCAGAAACCTCCATTTTATCATTCTGAAAACTGCCTTGCCTTTGGAGGAAGAAGAGTGGAGCTTCAAAGACCTCTATGTCATAGTTCTTAAGCTGCCTTGCTATAGGAGGAAGGAGGAAGGAGAGAAGAGTGGAGCTTCGAAGACCTCTATGTCATAGTTCTTAAGCTGCCTTGCTATAGGAGGAAGGAGGAAGGAGAGAAGAGTGGAGCTTCGAAGACCTCTATGTCATAGTTCTTTTTTTTTTTTATATATTAATTTTTATTAGTTTTACATCTATAATAGACATATAACAATAACACGACATACATGTGCATATGACAGACAATACGGACAAAGTAATGTTAAGTATAACCTAATTTTTTACATGTCTTCTAGTTATCGTATAAATGTATTTGTTCCCATTCCGAGATATCTCCCTCTCCCTCCCCCATGGTTAACTCTACTTATTACATGTTGTGATGTACAATATTCTTTTTTCTTTTGTTCTTTCAGTTCTTCCCTCCCTCCTTTCTCTTTACTCACGCCATCAAGAGGTAATAGGGTGGGGGAGTGGTTCGGGAATAGGGGAATCAAAGTACAGAGGGAGATTCAAAAAGAGAAAAGCAGTGTGGCATTTCAATTCTTAGAGTTAAATCCCCCTGGGGGGGGGGGACAAATTGTGTATTTTTGTTGTGTCAAATCCCACCACCTAAAACACCCTTAGTGACATTAAAAAACACTTCCAAGGTTGTTCTGGACAGATATTATAGTGGTGGGCATTATTACCCCTCTATTTTGCTAATTTATCATACGTCGGATGTTTAATAATGTTCCCTGGGGGGCTTTCGTTATTCCATACTGATATCAATTTCGTTATTGCATCTTTTAACATAATCTATAAAACTTTCCCAGTTAGTTTTTGGAGGTTTAGGCACATTTTGGGATATTTTATAAGTTAGGATATCCATATTCATTATATCCCATACTTTTAGAATCCATTGATCTGTCGTTGGAATTTCTGGAGATTTCCAGGTCTTAGCTATAACTGTTCTGGCAGCAGTTGTGAAATAGAAGAGTAGTTTATCTGAATTTTTATTTTTTAGAGGGTCTGTGATTCCCAGCAGCATGGTTTCCGGTCTGAATGTTATTTTCTCTCCTAATATTGTCTGTATTGTTTTGTTAACTTGTTGCCAGAAATTTTTAATTTTTTTACAGTTCCACCATGTGTGTATATAACTTCCTTTATGTTTTCCACATTTCCAGCATGTGTTTTTGGTTTTCCCTCTACTAAATTTGGATATCTTTTCAGGGGTGTAGTACCACCTGTAGAATGATTTGTACCAGTTTTCTTTCATATTTGTCGAATATGTATATTTAATTTTTTGGCGCCAGACCTCTTCCCATTCTGACATTTTTATTGACCTACCTACATCTCTGGACCACTGAATCATGTTCTGTTTAACTTGTTCTGTCTCCGTTGCCCATATCAGCAATTGTTGATATATTCTTTTGATGAACTTGGCTTCAGTTTTTAGTATTTTGTCCCAGAATGTTTCTTGGGTCTGGAATCCATTTTTAACATCAATTCTGTAGTTCTCAGATATTTGCTGATAATGGAACCAGGAGATAGATTTATCAAGCTGTTTGAGTTCTTCCTGGGATTTTAATATGGTTTCTCGTGGGTCTTTTTTCAGAAGCTGGGCATATGTAAGCCATTTTTCTCTGGGCAAGTCCCTCAAGTGTTGTGCTTCATTGGGAGAGAACCATAGGGGTGTTTTTCTGTAAAATCTATCTTTGTATCTGTCCCAGACTTTGAGAAGTGAAGCTCTGATTGGGTGGTTTTTAAAACATTTCTCTTTTTCAGCTTTGCCTCTCCATAAGTAACCGTGCCAGCCTTGATATAGATCGAAACCCTCTAGGGCTAAGATTTTTCGTTTATTTAAGGTCACCCAGTCTTTTACCCATCTTAAAGTCTTTTACCCATCTTCATAATATAAGTTTAAATCGGGGAGGGACAGGCCTCCCCTTTTCTTGTCATCGATCATGTTTTTATGACTTATTCTTTGTTTTTTGCCCTTCCAAATAAATTTGGAAATTTCTTTTTGCCAACTATTAAGGAGGGTTTTTGATTTTAGGACTGGCAAAGATTGAAACAGGAACAGAACATCTGATAGAATAGTTCTTAAGCTGCCTTGCTATAGGAGGAAGGAGGAAGGAGAGAAGAGTGGAGCTTCGAAGACCTCTATGTCATAGTTCTTAAGCTGCCTTGCTATAGGAGGAAGGAGGAAGGAGAGAAGAGTGGAGCTTCGAAGACCTCTATGTCATAGTTCTTAAGCTGCCTTGCTATAGGAGGAAGGAGGAAGGAGAGAAGAGTGGAGCTTCGAAGACCTCTATGTCATAGTTCTTAAGCTGCCTTGCTATAGGAGGAAGGAGGAAGGAGAGAAGAGTGGAGCTTCGAAGACCTCTATGTCATAGTTCTTAAGCTGCCTTGCTATAGGAGGAAGGAGGAAGGAGAGAAGAGTGGAGCTTCGAAGACCTCTATGTCATAGTTCTTAAGCTGCCTTGCTGTAGGACGAAGGAGAGAAGAGTGGAGCTTTAGAAGCATCCATTATTTAGTTTTTGAACTGCTTTGCCTTTGGAGAAAGAAAGAAGGAGAGAAGAGTGGAGCTTCAGGGATTTCTCCTTCCTTTTCATACCATGTTCTCACTCAGGTCCAGCGCATCAGCCATTTCCAGCCTTGCCGTCCGCTCAATGGTTACGTTAGGGTCTACTCGGCTTTGCAGCTGAAAGAAGCAAATCAAACGGAGGATTGAAGAAAGAAGAAAGGCAAGGGAAGAGGAAAAAGGGAAGGGGGAAAAGTATGGAGGGATGGAAGGAAAGAAAAAAGAAAGAAAGAAAGAAACAACACAGAGAGATCAAGAAACAGCAAAGATAAAGGAAGGGAAGGATGAAGGAACTAATAGAAAAGAGAGAAAAGGAAGGAAGGAAGGAAGGAAGGAAGGAAGGAAGGAAGGAAGGAAGGAAGGAAGGGATAGAAAAAAGAAAGAAGAAAAGCAAGGGAAGAAAAAAGGGAAGGAGAAAAAGTATGGGGGGATGGAAGGAAAGAAAAAAGAAAGAAAGAAAGAAAGAAACAACACAGAGAGATCAAGAAACAGCAAAGATAAAGGAAGGGAAGGAAGAAGGAACCAATAGAAAAGAGAGAGAAAGAAGGAAGAAAGGAAGGAAGGAAGGGAGGGAGGGAAGGGAGGGATAGAGAAAAGAAAGAAGAAAAGCAAGGGAAGAAGAAGAAAGGAAGCGGGAAAAGTATGGGGGATGGAAGGAAAGAAAAAAGAAAGAAGGAAAGAGAAAGAAAAAAAGAGAAATGAAGGGAAGGAAAAAGGAACAAATGGAAAAGAGAGAAAAAGAGAGAAAAAGAAGGGAAGGAAGAGAGGAAGGGAGGGAGAGAGGGAAGGAAGAGAGAGATAGAAAAAAGAAAGAAGAAAAGCAAGGGAAGAAGAAAATTGGAATGGGGAAAAGTATGGGGGTGGAAGGAAAGAAGAAAAAAGAAAGAAGGAAAGTGAAAGAAAAAAGAGAAAGGAAGGGAAGGGAGGGAAGGAAGAAGGAAAGAAGAAAGGGAGGGAGGGAAGAGAGGGATAGAAAAAAAGAAAGAAGAAAAACAAGGGAAGAAGAAAAATGAAAGGGGAAAAAGTATGGGGGGATTGTAGGAAAGAAAAAAAGAAAGAAGGGAAGTGAAAGAAAAAAGGAGGGAAGGAAGGGAGAAAGAAAGAAAGAAAGAAAGAAAGAAAGAAAGAAAGAAAGAAAGAAGAGAGATCAAGAAAGAGCAAAGATAAAGGAAGGGAAGGAAGAAGAAACAAATGAAAAAGAGAGGAAAAAAGAGAAGGAAACAAAGAAGGAAGGGAGGTAAGAGTGGGATAGAAAGAAGAAAGAAGAAAAGCAAGGGAAGAAGAAAAGGAGAAGGGGGAAAAGTATGGGGGGATGGAAGGAAAGAAAAAAGAAAGAAAGAAAGAAAGAACACAGAGAGATCAAGAAACAGCAAAGATAAAGGAAGGGAAGGAAGAAGGAACCAATGGAAAAGAGAGAAAAAGAAGAGAAGGAAGGAAGGGAGAGAGGGAGGGAAGAGAGGGATAGAGAAAAGAAAGAAGAAAAGCAAGGGAAGAAGAAGAAGGGAAGCAGGAAAAGTATGGGGGGATGGAAGGAAAGAAAAAAGAAAGAAGGGAAGAGAAAGAAAAAAAGAGAAAGGAAAGAAAGAAAGAACAAAGAGAGATCAAGAAACAGCAAAGATAAAGGAAGGGAAGGAACAAATGGAAAAGAGAAAAAAGAAGAGAAGGAAAGGAAGAAGGAAGGAAGAAAGGCATAGAAAAAAGAAAGAAGAAAAGCAAGGGAAGGAAAAAAGGGAAGGGGAAAAAGTATGGAGGATGGAAGGAAAGAAAAAAAGGAAAAAGGGAAGAGAAAGAAAAAAGAAAGGAAGGCAGGGGAAGGGAAGGGAAGTAAGGAAGGAAGGAAGGAAGAAGAAAGAAGAAAGAAAGAAAGAAAGAAAGAAAGAAAGAAAGAAAGAAAGAAAGAAAGAAAGAAAGAAAGAAAGAAAGAGAGAGATCAAGAAACAGCAAAGATAAAGGAAGGGAAGGAAGAAGGAACAAATGGAAAAGAGAGAAAAAGAAGAGAAGGAAAGAAGGAAGGAAGGAAGGGAGAGAGGGAGGGAAGAGAGGGATAAAGAAGAAAAGCAAGGGAAGAAGAAAAAGGGAAGGGGGAAAAGTATGGGGGGATGGAAGGGGAAAAAAGAAAGAAGGGGAGAGAAAGAAAGGAAGGGAAGAAAGAAAGAACAAATGGAAAAGAGAAAAAAAAGAAGAGAATGAAGAAAGGAAGGGAGGGAGGGAAGGGAAAGAGCGACTGAAAGAAGAAAGAAGAAAAGCAAGGGAAGAAGAAAAGGAGAAGGGGAAAAAGTATGGGGGGATGGAAGGAAAGAAAAAAGAAAGAAGAAAAGAGAAAGGAAAGGAAGAAAGAACAAAGTGAGAGAAAGTGAAGAGAAAGAAACAAAGAAGGAAGGGAGGGAAGAGAGAAAAAGAAAGGAAGAGAAAAGAAAAAAAGAAGAGGAGAGAAGCTATATAAGGGAAAGCAAGGGACGACGAGAAGAGAGAGAGAAAGCAAGATGGCATTGAGAGGTAGACTTCTTCATCAGAGCTGGAGAAGGGAGAAAGTAGGTGGGCAGAGGTTCCAAAGACACCTGGGAAACACACACACACACACACACACATGTTAATTAATGAATAATAGGTAGATCACTTTGTTGGTGTCTGCGGTTGTCACCACACCCGTCCCTGGTTCTTTCTCTGTTTTCTGCTCTTTCTTCTCGGCAGAGATTTTCTTGCAGACGATCACAGCCTCCGGCTTCCTTTCTTCGGAATCTGCGAGAAGAGCAAATTGCATGTTTCCTCCATAATGCAAATGGGATGGAGAGTTCCAACATAATGCGGAAAGTCCGAGACGAACATTTGGAGAGATAGAAATTGGAGGAGCTAAATCCAGGGAATAATAATAGTAATAATAATAATAATAATAATAATAATAATAATAATAATAATAATACTAACAACAAAAACAATAATAAAATTGTCAGGATTTATTTAGTTACTAGCTTGGAGACTCGGCGCTGCCCCGGTTATTACAGAAAGTGGGTAATGGCGGTTCTGTATGCCAAGTTTGGTCATTATTGGTCATTGGATGATGGTTGCATTGTTTTCAGGAAGTGAGTGAAGGTACTTGAAGTCCCATCATCCATGGTCCACCCTTCTCCAAACAGCAGCAGGATATAGAGTGGGTCATGGGGGCTCTGTGTGCTAAGTTTGGTATTGATCAGTCATTGGCTCAGGGTCGCAGTGGTTTCAGTAAGTGAGTAAAGGTACTACAAGTCCCATCATCCATGGTCAACCCTCCTCCAAAACAGCAGCAGCATGTAGAGTGGGTCATGGGGGCTCTGTGTGCCAAGTTTGGTCTTGATTGGTCATTAGATTAGGGTTGCAGCAATCTTGGGAAGGGAGTGGAGGTACTTGAAGTCCCATCATCCATGGTCTGTCCTCCTCTAAACTGCACCAGGATGTAGAGTGGGTCATTGTGAAGGTAAGTGAAGGTACTGTTAGTCCCATCATCCATGGTCAACCCTCCTCCAAACTGCACCAGGATGTTGAGTGCGTCATGGAGACTCAGTGTGCCAAGTTTGGTCTTTATCGGTAAGTTTTCTGCTTCCTTGGAGACTAGGACGCGGAACAATGGCTTCAAACTACAAGAGAGGAGATTCCATCTGAACATTAGGAAGAACTTCCTGACCGTGAGAGCCGTTCAGCAGTGGAACTCTCTGTGTGGTGGAGGCTCCTTCTTTGGAAGCTTTTAAGCAGAGGCTGGATGGCCATTTGTCAGGGGTGATTTGAATGCAATATTCCTGCTTCTTGGCAGGGGGTTGGACTGGATGGCCCAGGAGGTCTCTTCCAACTCTTTGATTCTATGATTCTATGATTCATTGGGGCTCCGTGTGCCAAGTTTGGTCTTGATTAGTCATTGACGAGTGTCTCAGTGGTCTCAGAAAGTGAATGAAGTTACTGCAAGTCCCATCATCCATCTCCAATTTTTTCCAAACGACACCAGGATGTAAAGTGGGTCACGAGAGGTCTATGTGCCAAGTTTGGTCTTGATCAGTAATTGGATGAGGTTTGCAGAGGTCTCAGAATGTGAGTGAAGGTACTGAAAGTCCCATCATCCATGGTCAACCCTCCTCCAAAACTGCAGCAATATGTAGAGGCGTCATGGAGACTCAGTGTGCCAAGTTTGGTCCTTATCGGTAATTGGATGAGGGTTGCAGTGGTCTCAAGAATTGAGCAAAGGTACTGCAAGTCCCATAATCCATGGTCCATCCCCGCCAAACCACACCAGGACGTAAAGTGGGTCATGAGAGGTCTATGTGCCAAGTTTGGTCCTGATCAGTCATTGGATGAGGTTAACAGCGGTCTCAGAATGTGAATGATGGTACTGCAAGTCCCATCATCCATGGTCCATCCTCCTCCAAACTGCAGTAGGATGTCGAGTGGGTCATGGGGGCTTTGTGTGCCAAGTTTGGTCTGTATTGGTAATTTTCTTCCTTTCTTCTCTTTGTCATCTTGGAATCTTGGAATTGTGGCTGGCCAATCAGAGACCATATGCAAATTTCCTTCTTTCATGTCTCCGTTTCTGTCATGAACCCTTTTCTCCACCAGGGGTTCCTCTTGAAGCTGGCCAATCAGAGACCATATGCAAATAGCACGACAGTGGCAGCAAATGAGAAAGCTGGCACATACTCGTCCGCTCGCACCGCCACACGTCCGCCGCATACAAACTTTGACTTTCATTATATGTATAGATGTATGTGTTTTAAATGTGCTTCTATGTAATTCAAAGATGGATGCCACTGTGAATTAGAAATGCCGTGCAGAAATGTTTATACTTTGAGGCTGTGATTAAGTGAACTTGAGAAAAGTAAGATAAGGTTTGTTCTTGCTGAGAACAGAAGGGAGTTGCCAGTCTCAGCAAGAGAAGATAAGCAGGTGTGAAGGGGCTTTCGGTTTTGACTAGTTCCTGAATTGTAGCTCGCTGTAGAAAGACATGTTTGATGTATGTACTTAGTAAACTTGTGGTAGTTGTTAGGGGAAAAATAAAATAATAATCATAATATAAAAATCCTTACCTGAACGGCTCAAAGGAGATTTTGCAAATTAAGGGGGAAAGCCGCCAGATGGCATGGATCGATAGCGAGGTCAACATGACTGATCAAAGGTACATGCCGAATGTTTATTTTAGCCAAATGTTGACATATGAAGAAACCACCAAAAACTGGCAGCACACAGAAATCAATTAGGCTTGGGTAACTACAGAAAAATTTGGTTCTAAACTCGTTTCGTTTTTAGGGGGGCCCTTGCGTTTCGTTTTTTTAAAGAATTCCGAAATTTTCCTTTAAAAAAGTTCGAAATATACGAAATTTCGTAAAATTACGAATCGATTTGTTAATGGCGGACGCGATTGCGCAATATGCTAAAAAACCCTCCAAATGGGACAGGGGGAACTTCTGAAGCTTCCCTCTCCCTCTGTTGTTGACTGTTGGAGTGATAATTTATTTTTTATCACTGATAAAACAAACAACAACTATAAAACTTGCACCAGACATACGGAAATAATTACGAAACAATTACGAAACGATTACGAAACAATTTTGAACCAATTACGAAACAATTATGAAACAATACGAAATAAATTGGAAAAATTGTTTCGATTTTTAATTACTCCTCACAGTAGTCCTGCATGGCTCAATATTGGATCGTAAGCTAATTTAAATACGAATTAATAACGAATTACGAAATTAACGAATGAAACCGCCCAAGCCTAAAATCAATATATATCGATCCAAGACTTAGAACATCTAAGGTCATATAGTGAGAGAGCGCCATCTCCAACTTTTTGATGTAAATAGCAGGTAATTTCAGAAACGTTTTATTTAAGCAAATTCCTGGGGAACTAAATTATTAACAGAGTAATTACGGCAGAATTGATGAGATTGCTTTGATCAACTCTTTATGTTAAAAACATATATAAAGTTATGATTCATTTAAGAGATCTAAGGGAATTGAAAAACCAATTGAACATGTCATCTTGGCAAAGTCCTGGAACGTGTGGTGGCCTCGCAACTCCAAGAGTTCCTGGTAGACACAAACTATCTAGATCCGGCACAGTCTGGCTTTAGGCCGGGACATGGTACTGAGACAGCCTTGGTCGCCTTAGTGGATGATCTGCGCCGGGAACTGGACAGGGGGAGTGTGTCCCTGTTGGTTCTACTGGACCTCTCTTCGGCCTTCGATACCGTCGACCACGGTATCCTTCTGGGACGCCTCGCGGGGTCTTGGGGGTACTGCTTTGCAGTGGCTCCGGTCCTTCCTCGAGGGTCGCTCCCAGAAGGTATCACTAGGGGACTCCTGCTCGACTCCTCGGCCATTGTACTGTGGAGTCCCGCAGGGTTCAGTACTGTCCCCTATGTTGTTTAACATCTACATGAAGCCGTTGGGAGACATCATCCGGAGTTTCGGGGTACAGTGTCATCTGTACGCAGATGATGTCCAACTCTGTCACTCCTTCCCACCTGCTACTGAGGAGGCTGTCGAGGTCCTGAACCGGTGTCTGGCCGCTGTGACGGACTGGATGTGGGACAACAGATTGAAACTAAATCCAGACAAGACAGAGGTACTCCTGGTCAGTCGAAAGGCCGAACAGGGAACGGGATTACAGCCTGTGCTGGACGGGGTCACACTCCCCCTGAAGGCGCAGGTTCGCAGCTTGGGAGTGATCCTGGACTCATCGCTGAGTCTGGAACCTCAGGTCTCGGCGGTGGTCAGGGGAGCTTTTGCACAATTAAAACTTGTGCGCCAGCTGCGCCCGTACCTTGGGAAGTCTGACTTGGCCACGGTGGTCCACGCTTTGGTTACATCCCGTTTAGACTACTGCAACGCTCTCTACGTGGGGTTGCCTCTGAAGACTGCCCGGAAGCTGCAGCTAGTCCAACGCTCGGCAGCCAGACTACTAACGGGTGCTGGGTACAGGGAGCACACCACTCCGCTGTTACACCAGCTCCACTGGCTGCCAATTAGCTTCCGAGCACAATTCAAAGTGCTGGTGTTAACCTATAAAGCCCTAAACGACTCCGGCCCGGTTTACCTCTCCGAACGTATTCTCCCCTACGAACCATCAAGATTACTAAGATCGTCTGGAGGGGCCCTGCTCTCGGTCCCACCGGCCTCACAAGCGGCTGGTGGGGACGAGGGACAGGGCCTTCTCAGTGGTGGCCCCGCGACTCTGGAACTCTCTCCCGCCAGAGGTTAGAACCGCCCCAACAATCCTGACATTCAGGAAACAGGTGAAGTCGTGGTTATGGAGACAGGCTTTCAAAGAATGAGACAATGATTTGGATGGAAGACGGTGTATATTCGATTTTAGTATGACGACTGACCACTGTAGTTTTAAATATATGTACTTTTTAATGTTTTATTGTAATGTGTATTTTGATATTTTACCGATTGTATGTGTTTTTACGGTTGGAAACCGGGCTGAGTCCCTCTATGAGGTGAGAAGCTCGGTATATAAAACTTTGAAATAAATAAATAAATAAATAATAGGTAGAAGGTTAAATAGTTATATAAGTGAGCAGATGTTTGGGGTCATGATGGTCTTGCCAGAAAGATGTCCTTGGCAACTACATATGAAAATTCCTGTTAATGATTGTATTGCGTAAATGTCAGAGTTGTTCTACACATGTGCAAAACTAGCAATTCCATGCTATAAAAGCTGGACAAATGCGGCGTCAGGTTGTGTCAGCCCTTGGAAGCTGATCACCCTTACTCCGGAGTATGAATAAACGCCTAGAACCCTGCCAAGCTCTTTCTCAATCTTCTTCCTTCTCCAAGAGGTACTCAATGAAACCTGGTAAATGTATATTGACTCGCTACAAACTTAGTTTCTTTTGTAACTCAAAACCTGCAGAGTCCTTATTTTGCAACTCAGTGTCTGCTTGATCGAGCATTCCTTCCGCTGGGTATCATCAATCTCTGGCATTTTCCTCTTGGCAGTAGGTACTGAAAGCCTTCAGAAAAGGTTTAAGACCCAACCGAGAGAGGGAGATAAGCACTAGATCATCTGCGTACTAGGCCTGGTTGATCAAGAAAAAATTTGGTTCTAAAATCGATTTGTAATTGGGGTGTTTTTTTGTTT